TCTATGGCCCATTGTGACTTGTGGACTTCAACTCCCAGATTTCCTGAGCCAGCATTACTAAATAAATAAAGAGGAGCCTACTTCGAATCCCATTGGTCAAAGAACGCCAACGTTCGGGATCCCAAAGAAGAGCCTTCGCTGCTGTAGCGGCCACCCTTTGTAAATATCTTACAGGTAGTCCTCATCTTACAACAGTTCCCTTAGTGACTTAGTTACAGCAGCGCTGAAAAAAAGTAACTCATGAACGTTTTTCACGGTTATGACCATCAAGCATCCCCATGGCCACATGATTTACATTTGGATGCTCGACAACTGACTCCGTTGAAGCCAGATTCACTTAACAAATGTGTTACTCACTTAACAACCGCTTAATGAATGCGGCAAGAAAAATCATAACATAGGACAAAAATCTCACTTAACATTCTCACTTACATACATGCTCATAACATAGCAATAGCACTTAGACTTATATACCGCTTCACAGTGCTTTTACAGCCCTCCCTAAGCAGTTTACAGAGTCAGCCCCTTGCCCCCAACAATCTGGGTCCTCATTTTTACCGACCTCAGAAGGACGGAAGGCTGAGTCAGCCTTGAGCCTGGTGAGATTTGAACTGTTAAACTGCAGCTAGGAATAGCCTGCAGTACTGCACTCTTAACCGTTGCGCCACCTCGGCTAAATTATGGTTGTAAGTTGAGGACTGCCGTACGCTGTAAGGTAAGATTTGAGTGATTTGAAGATCCATTTTTAGCTATACCCGAATGGTTACACCGGAGGGCTCTTTTAAGTTCTCATCCAAGAACCCAAAGGTGATGTCCTTCGTCGCAACTTATTACTGCTTCCTGGTGAAGCAGGCTTCTAATTCTTCCTCTGCTCTTTGTCTTGTAGGTTCAGCAGCTCTACAGAACAAAGCAGCGCCTCGCGCCTCATGAGACGACACAAACGGCGTCGGCGGAAACAGAAAGTAGCCCGAATTGAGAGGGTGAGAGGCCCGGCTGGGCGTTTGGGGATGGCGCAGTGTCAGGGGGACAGAATCCAGATCGTGGGAAGAGTTAATAGCGCTTTATAAGGGCCTTTGGTAAGGCCACACTTGGAATACGGCATCCAGTTTTGGTCGCCACGAAATAAGAAAGATTTTGAGACTCTAGAACAGTGGTGTCAAACTGGATTGCTTCAACGGCCAGATGCTGGCCCAAATGGGGCGTGGGGGGATGTGTACGGAGTGTACGAGCCCCCCGCAGCCTGTTTTGGCTGCCAGAGTGCTGCAGGAGGCCAGTCCAGGCCAAAAGCGCGGTGTATGTGTGGGGCGCATGCTCCCCTCCACACGCCCCATTTTGGCTGCTGAGGCACCATGGGCCGGTCCTTTGTTATTTCTAGGACAGCCCCGAAGACCAGATTTAAGTCCCCGTGGGCCTTGAGTTTTGACACCCCTGCTCTAGAAAAAGTGCAGAGAAGAGCAACAAGGATAGCAATAGCAGTAGACTTATATACCGCTTCATAGGCCTTCAGGCCTCTCTAAGCGGTTTACAGAGA